GGTGTCAAATTTGCAAATGAACTGGAGCTCAGTAGTTTCTCTTTGGAGTCTGGTCCTGAATACTTGCTCCCAATACTTCTGTTAGTCTTAAAGGTGCCACAGGACCCTCTGTTACTTTTTACAGATTCAGACTAATACGGCTACCCCTCTGATACTTGATACTTATAAACTGTATCAAGTCATGGCTTAACCTTCTCCTTAAGCTAAATAGATTTAGAAAACATGCCTTATAGTGATAGAATCAAAGATCTCATCCTTTAATCATTCTAGTGGCTCTTCTCTGAATCCTTTCCAATTTATCCATATCCATCTTGAATTCTGGGCACCAGAACTGGACATAATATTCCAACAGCAATTGCACCAGTGCCAAATATAGAGGTGAAATAACCTCTATCTTCCTACTTGAGATTCTCCTTTTAATGTGATCCTGGGATGTATAATCTCTTTTACCCACAGTTTCACACTGTGAGCTTATATTCAGCTGATTACCCACTGTGACCCCCAAATCTTTTTTAGAGTCACTGCTTCCCAGAATAGATTCCCTCATTCTATAAATATAATCTATATTCTTTGTTCTTTGACGTATACATTTTCTCATATTGAAATGTATATTGTTTGCTTAGTAAACTAGTGCAAGCAATCTAGATCACTCTGAATTAGTGACCTGTTCTCTTCAGTATTTACCACTCCCCCCCAGTTTCTGGATCATCTGCAAACTTTGAGTCATTATTTTATATTGTCATTCAGATCCTTGATAAAAACATTTTTAAATAGCATAGGGCCAAGAACCAATCACTGAAGTACCCCACTGAAAACAAATCCACTCAGTGATGATTCCCCATTTGCAGTTACATTTTAAGACCTATCTGCTAGCCAATTTTTAATCCATATTTATTGTGTGCCACTGTAACCCATGCTTCTGTTGCTGTTCCTTTTACCTGTTGTAGTCAATTTTGGTTTTGGTTTTCTTCCTGCCAGAAGAGTGGAGCAGCTGTCCACTGACTGTAGCTGGTCTTGGCCTAGCTGGTAAACAAAGGAAAAAGTTCATGAACCCTTGGGCAGTAGGACATTTCCAAGGGTGGGGGCCAATTCCACTCACAAGTATAAAGAAAGAAAGAGACACCAAACTGTTCAGTTAGTTCAGCCAGACCCAGAGTGAGACAGCCATAGCGGGGGTAGGGGGGGGTGAAGATCTCTGCCCTGAAAGCTGATAAAAGCTTTTACTAATAATTGCAGCAAGAAGATAGCCACAAGGAGAAGGCAACCATCCTATTTAAAAAACTGGGCACTTGCTACTTGTTCAGCTCAGGACAATGTGGTGACATTAATGCCAAATCAGTAATGTGTGTTTTAAATGCACAGGATTTGTGACCTGTGTACTATTTGGTACTGAAGAATCTGTATGTTTGAGACTGAGTCTCAGTTAACCCTCAAATTATCTTCTTATAAAACTAAAGCTTCTGTTTGTTTGTTTTGATTTGAGCAGCTTTACTACATGGTGGTAGCTTTATTCCAGACAGGAGCAAACTCAGGGTATGGGCATCCACAACTGCCCAAATTTGCACTTTTATCTTGTGCGTTATTCACAGGCGGGAATCCTGCTGTCAAAACATACTGAGCCCACTCACTATTCCTGCAGTAAAATGGAATTATAGTGGGTACTTGTGTGATCAAAGTTGAAGCTCTGAGCCTGTATCTGGGAATCTGTCAGTCATAGATTTGGTCTTGCATTAAATTTGTACTAAGATGGTAGTTACATAGGCCCAGATGCACAAAGGTATTTAGTCACCTAACTGTGATGCTTCCCGGGGATACCCTGCATTGTGAGGCACCTTGCTATCACCTGCCCTTAGCATGAGAGAGCCTGGTCTGTGCCTGTCCACAGTCAGGGGACAGGGTGGGTTGGATAGGGGGTGGGATCCGGGGGGGGGGGGGTGGTGAGGGGCGGGGGGTCTCGGGGGGGGGCAGTCAGGGAGCAGGGGGGATTGGATGGGGCATGGGAGTCCCGGGGTTTCTCAGGGG